ATATTTATAACTATTCAAACGATTGCGTGTCCCTTCAGGCAACTGCAGACATATAAAATGTATTACACATATATATATACATATATATATATACATATATATATATATATATATATATATATATATATATATATATATATATATATATATATATATATATATATATATATATATATATATATATATATATATATATATATATATATAAAATTTGTGTGTGTTTGTGTGTGTGTGTTTGGGTGGGTGGGTTTTCAATAGTACATATATTTTCAATATAGAACATATTTTTAAAATATATCTGTGTGTATGTGAGAGGGTACGTTTCCTACTTTAGGATAATACTCCAAATTCTATGCTACAGTATTGTGTGGAAATACATTGGGTTGCATACCGACCACATTTCACACGACACGCTGAAATCAGCGCTCAACATTAAGGCTGTCCTGACCGCACTGTCCACCTCTTAGGTCAGCACCCCCCCCCCCTCCTACATCCCCACCCTTAACTAACCGTTCCAAATTATCCGACCCCCCCCCCCCCCTCCACCTAAAAATAAATACCAAAAAAGAAAACTAGCCCTTTTTTTCTCAACGAGGAAGGTTTTATCGTCACACGCGAGGTAGGAGATTTTCAGGGGATTCCCGTTTGATGGGGCGTATGAATATTGAGTCGATTGGAAAAGATGGGAGGAAAGAAGCAGGGAAGGGAGACAATTCTGGTGTAAATTGAGAAATATAGTGGTGGGGGGGGGGGGTCGTTTTGACTACTAATAATTTAATTTTTAAAAGTCAATTTGCTAATTCTAAGATAATATTTTTTTAATTTTTAATTTGTTTTTATTTTTAAATGACAACTTTTGAAAATAACTATTCACTGTAAAACTGTTTCTGTGTTCAGCTGTCTATTTTACATAATCATTTAACTAATTTGACGTATATCGGCGTTAGGGATCTAGATATCTATTTATTGGACACAAGTATCGGAAATATTTCTCAAAATAATCAAGACAGTTATTTTCCGCTATTATTCCCATCCAACTTAGTAGCGAGGTATATTTTTTATAGCTTTAGTCAGAGCTCAAAAACTTAATTTCTACTTCAATAAATTCCTCTTTTTTTTTCTTCTTCTACACAAAAACATTTAAAGCCACAGGTACGTAGGACTGAGGGACGGGAGGGGGTATTGTTGTTGAGAAATTAATAACAGTAGACTTCATTAGGTTGTTTTGAAGTATATTTATAATACGGACTCTATAACTAATTTAATCTCTTTTAAACTAAGCGGAAAATTCCGCTTGTCTTGTATCCGACAATGGGCTCTTCCAAAAATAGGTGTGTTAGGTTGTCAATAGTATTGAAATATCAGGATTAGTGTTAAGCTAGTATTAAGAATTAGTGCTATGTTAGGATTTGGGTAAGAGTTTGGCTTAGGTACAGTGTTAACGTTAAAATTATCAAGTTATATTGGTTTATACTTTACTACCAGCTACCTAACACCCCTTTTTTTAAGAAGGTTCTATTATTTAAGGCATTACTGTTATAGAACCTACACCAAAGATATATTTTATTACGCTTCGCAATCTTGTTCATTGTGGTCAGAGTTTCTTCCAGGCATCCACTTCGAAAAACGTCTACCCCCCCCCCCCCCCCACCATCCCGAACGATATATAATTTATATAGAAAATGTATACTTTCTCCAGTGTCTGCACCCTCCTCCTGGAAAATTTGGTCCCGTCCACCCTAGAAATTTTCAAGTGCCCCCCCCCCCCCCCTCCTCCCTGAGAAAAAAGTCTGAAAGAAACACCGACTGTGGTTTAAATGAATCAAGCAACATGTAAAGCCCATCCACCCATTAGGCATCCACTAACGCGGCCCTTGTCATTTCTCTGAGAGAACAAGCTTGACTTTTCTCTCTGGTGCTGGGGGACGGCCAGAGCAGTTTTAAGACGGGGACCACGTGACCTTCCTTGCCGAGACGGCCATCTTAATTACGCATCGGCTCAGGCAATCATTACATGGGACTTAGCCCCCGTTGGAAATGTATGAGCTATATAAAGAAAAAAAGAAGGGGTGGGGGTCGGGTTGGGGGTGGGGGTGGGGGGTGGGGTGGTTATTGAACATTTTGAGGAAGAGTGAAATAGCCAGGGTTGAATGTGTGATATAAACGACACGAAGGATAAATGAATTCATCGTTCTTTTATAGTTGTCTCCCCTATGCTGGGTAGTGTGTAGGTGAGGGACATAACTCAGTACTAGCACTTCTATAGTAGAAGTCGTTTTTTTTTTTTTTTTAAATATATATCTTTTGTGGAAGTATTAGCCAAGTTTCTTTTAGCGGGGTCATTTTCTTAAATGTTTGATAGTAGGGGTCATTTTCTTAAATGTTTGGTAGTATGGGTCATTTTCCCACACTTGAGCGTTAGGGGTCATATTTCTATATTTGAGAAAACAGGATCACATTCCTACAGCTGGGGTTTAGGAGTCCTTCACTTGAGCTAGTGGGGTCATATTCCTATACTTAAGGTAATTAGGGGTCGTCTTCCTGCAACTGTTGGTAGGGGTCATATTCTAACATTTGATTTTTCGTACACCTACATTTAACTTTTTATGGGAAATATTCCTACATTTGAGTTACTAATGAACATATTCCTAAATTAAGCTAGTATGTAAAATACGACTTTCGACCGACTTTAACACATCGATGTTTGGAAAACTTCATATATATATATATATATATATATATATATATATATATATATATATATATATATATATATATATATATATATAGGTCTGTGATAATTGGTAATAAACTCAATAAGACATGTGAATGGTATTAATTATTTGTAACTTATAGCGTTGCTAGTTGCTATCTTACATGGGCTAACTATGACAAAATGCGTATGTTGTGTTTTTTTTCTTTTCTCGGATTAGTATGTCCTTTGTTTTAATTGTATTTTCTAAACGTATATACACATGTATGATTAGTTGTGGCTTAGTGCTAAAAGGGAAGCAGAGAGTCCTGTTATTCCCTTAGTGAGAATCCTTGGCCTTGTGAATTGGTAGAATCGGGTGGACGGGATCTCTCCCGGTCATGAAGGGCGAACGTCCGAGAGAGATAGCAATCTAGCGGAGATTTGCGGCCAATTTTATGAACAGGGATGTCGTCGCTTGTTGTGAAGATGTTGATGAGGGATCCTTTTGGTAATTGGGGAAGGGGGGATAGGGGGACGTGGTTAGTGAGGGGAGGGGGTATTTAATAGTCTGTGAATGCTGGGAGTTAGCGTTCAATGTAGAAGTGTTTTCGTCGTTTTTATCATCCAAGGGGAAGAGGGATAATGTGCAGTAGTGTGTAGTAGTGTGCAGTAGTGTGTTGTAGTGTGTAGTAGTTTGCATTAGTGTGCAGTAGTATGAAGTAGTGTGTAGTAGTGTGCAGTAGTATGAAGTAGTTTGCAGTAGTATGAAGTAGTTTGCAGTAATGTTTAGCAGTGTGAAGTAGTGTGCAGTAATGTGTAGCAGTGTATAGTAGTGTGTAATAGAGTGCAGTAGTGTGCATTCGTGTGCACTAGTATGTTGTATATGTTGATGAGTTTCAGTAGAGAAAAGTATTGAAATGAAACATTTCGCTTTGTTCATAACGGGTTGGGTTTGAGTGTTAATAGTTTTGAACTGTTTTAACTGGTTGAGTTTGGGTTAACTTCAGTGTGATTTGGTGTGGTCAGCAGTAAGCCCAGTTGCTTTTGTTTCCCTAACTTCAATTAGGTAACCCCGGGTGGACTAGGGATATCGTACAAATTAGAACCCGGCATCCGAACTCGAGACATTAGGGTTAGCAGCCATAAGCTTAACTATTCAACCACGCCGATAAAGCAAGCATTTAGTCTGTTTATAAGAGTGTGAAAGTAACTTTGTTAATTACTTTGTATTTAAGTTTAAAACAAAGCTCAGTTTCGAAAACAAATAGCTGTATGTTATTATTAACAGGGAATAGGGATGGGAAATACTACGAACAGAAAATATGGTTTAGATATTCAACAACTTTTTAAATATATATTTCCGTCGCTAAGTTCATTTAGGAAATAATTGTTCTGCTTTTATGATTGATAGTTTTCTTCAACAACTATGCTCTATGCTAGTGCCTTTAAAATACAAAATATTAAATTAAATTCTGAAAGATAGATAACTCTTTAACGAATTCGGATAACTCTAATTCCCTGCCCTTTGGCAAATTATAAATTATTTTTTAACATGCTGAATAAAATTGTGCTTTTATCTGCACATCGATTAATGGGGTGGGGTGGGTCAGAATTGTTTCAATCAATACAAATGCATACAGGAATGTAAGAAGTTTAAAATACGGTCTTTTAAAAGCAATTGGAATACATTGTTGGAGAAAGCGATGTGAGAATAAAGTCGCGGTATTAAATTTTTAAATAATATTGGAAAACACGAAGACTTCATAAGAACATTAGCTAGGTATAATAAAATATAAAGTATCATAACGAATATACGGAATAAAAAGAAGGTTTTGACTTTGCCTACAATTCGTGATAAGAACAAGAATATCAATGTACACCGTTTTTTCCTTAGACATTTTCTGTCTCTGGGCGAAAGGAGGTCACTTAAAACTTTAAAGAGGGGGAGGGGGGCACTAGGTTAAAGTAATTGTTTTCTACGTTTCCTGATTTAAAGAAATTTCTATACTATATCAAAACCGCCAAAAATTATACGAAATAAAAAGTTAGGAATACAAAATAATAATGTTCATGATCAGGTTTACAAAAACGACGTAACATTCAACAACTAACCACTATATATAAAAACTAAAATTTAGGTTTTGAGTATTGTCTACATCCGTATTGTCTACATCTGTATAAATAATACGAATAATATACAAAATAGAACTAAATTTTCTATTGTCTGTCATAAAATCAGAGACGTCTGTTAATTGTAATATATTTAAGTAGTTGAAGTCTAATTATAATCATCTCATTATCTTACCTTTTGCGGGCATGTTGTTAAACAATTTAATCTCCAGAGTTTCGTCCCTTGTGCTATTTATATCCACAGCAGATGTCTGAAACTCAGCCTCCAATCCGCGGCATTTGAGCCTTAGACCCGTGGCACCCAGCTCACCCTTACAGGGCGCCAAAGATTTCAGAGAATAGAACGGGAATGGTTCCAGAGCTAAGAATCCGACGCTCAAATCTGGAGCTAAAATTCTGAAGCTGAGAATCTACAGTTGAAAATTCCGGAGGTAAAAATCAGAAGATACTCTGGGGCTTTAGTTCTGGAGTTTAAAATCCAGAGCTTAATTTACAGGATAAAGTCTGAAGGGGGAATTCTGGAGTAACTTTTTTCAGTTTCCTATCAGGGTAACAACATGTCTGAGATCGATGCCTGTAGTAGATGCGCACCACGCGAATCCGTTATGGTGCAATGAGGTGCAAGGGTGCGCACCGCCCCTTTGACCAGACTGTATGGATCTGAAAAAGATAGATTTAAAAATTCGTTGTCAAATACTTCAAAGGAATGGGTTGTTGTTTTGTGTTTTTTTAGCGCAATTTCCATTCTGGAGAATTGCGTTTATTAACCCGTCATTTCTGGATAGATGGATGGATGGATGAATGTATGGATGTGTGTCCGCAGCTTTAAGTCGTATCTCCTCCTCAACGAAGCAATATCGATGACTAGTTACAAAAACAATTATGTTAAGCAAGTTACGAGGATGAACATAGGCCATAAAAATTCCGGGTTTCTTTCATGGATTTCCCGGAAAAGCCAAAAAACCTCGAAAAAATGCAGTTTTTTGCCTATATCTCGGCAACCAGACCACTTGTCGACTTGAAACACGTACCAATCGATTCCTGCCATAATTTAGAACAATATTGCCGAAGAAAGTTTTCAAAAATATCCTTTCGTTTGGTCACAAAAAAATTTTTGAATTAATTAAAATTTGGACCGAATTAGTAGGCATTTTATGCAACCACACCACACGCGTCATCACGTTCAATAGCTGCGCCATCACGTTCAATGGCTGCGACGTCACGTTCGGTAGCTGGGCGCGCAATGGTTTTTAGTCATGTTACTCTATTGTAAATAAAACGTAAAATACTGAAAAAAAAAATTAATAAAAAACGTTTTAATAACTAACCAATGGTTTTACTAACCCTGCTCTTGATTTACGCTACGACAGAGCTATTTTTAGATAACACAAGGAAATTGCGCTAAAATTGTCACTAGACTTTTTTTAATTACTTGTTTTAATAAGAAAAAAAAATTCCTTAATCAAGGGTTAAGTTGTCATTGACATTAGTTGTAACCTTTAGCATAAGAGATTAAATTTGTCTCTCGTAGATTAGTAACAACAGCATTGTCACATAGATCACACTGTGTAGCTTCATCAAACAGTTAAAGATCTCACAATGACTAATTAATTATGGTTAATTAAATATTCCTCATTAAATAATTTAATAATGGCAGGTTATGTGATCTACCGTATCCTATAATGTGTTAACCATGAAAGTGGTGTATTAAATTAGAAATATAGATACTACATGTAATTTGGATTAATTATTGTTTGATTCTTATATTAATGTAAAGGGACGGTATTCCTAAAACTTTCGACTTTAGAAGTTTAACACGGGCGCATTAAGGTAATGCAGAAAATTACATTAATTGTTTCTTATAACGTACCGGGTATACAAATAATGAATACGTCTACGGTATAATTAAATTAGTCATGCACGAAAAGAATTCATTTAAATTCCAAAAAAAAAAATTATTTAAAATATGTTTTTATCTCCAACGAATAAAAAAAGTTTAGTTTATGTAATGTTTAACTACCAATTAGCGTTCAATTCAAAAATTAACAACGAAGATAAGAGATTGAATATAATAGCTTCATTTCATATTAGCTTTATCCTACTATCAATGTATTTATTAGAGCTGTATCAACTTAGATATTTCTGTATTGTGCTTATGTATTAATATTTAATTTGCTAAAATTTTATATATTTGATTAAAAAAAATTTTATATTTTATGTATATATATATTTATATTTATATTAGTTTGTATAACAGAACTTTGTATATGTTTATTGAATTAGATTTATTACTTTGTATAATCCACTAAATTAAACGGCTGGTTTGTTAGATTATAACAACAGAGCGAACACCACTGAGGACAAAGCTAGTTTCAGAAGTTCACAGGACGGCAAAGATACATGCACTTTAAAGTACGGTTAGATTTTTTATCAGAGCTCGTCTTCAAAGAATTAGAAAGGTTTATCTTTACTGTGAAAAAGTGGTGGTTTGTGTACAATTTGGTTGATGTCTAGATCTATCTTCTGTATACAGAGTGAATTACGATCAGTACACATAAGGAAAACACTTTAAAGTCTTTATGATCTAATGCAGGGGTCTCCAAACTACGGCCCGCGGGCCGGATGCGGCCCGCGAAGTCCTCTCATCCGGCCCGCGGAGATCTTTTTGTCAAGGAAAAATCGTCTGTTGGTGATGGCTGAGGAACTTTGCCCAGAAAAATCAAAGACATGCCTGGAAGAAACTGGCCCCCGAACTGAAATTTGATGGGTAATGCGGCCCTCGGACTGAAAAGTTTGGAGACCCCTGAAATCTAATGAAACGGGCGAACTTTTAAACATGTGAGTTGTATTGTATTTATTTTGAAACGAAGTTATTGTATACAATCTACGAGTATAAAAAACAAAACAATTTTAAGTCTTAATGATCTAACAGTAGGCATTTCGGAAATCTTATTTTTTAAATTAATTTTTGTTTAGAGTCATTTTTTCATATTTTCTACAGTTCAAGTTTACTGACCATTATACAGTGGACACAATAAACTAGAGGTGTAAATACTTTTAAACTAGAGGTGTAAATACTTTTAAACTAGAGGTGTAAATACTTTTATCGAAAGATGTTAAGATAAAAATTGTTAACATACATTGAATATGTATTCATTAAAAATGGCCGATTTTCTATTCAAATAACGTCTTAAGCAAAACCAGATTTTTTTTGATTTTGGAGTTTCTCTCTAGGGTAAGTTGATGTACCCAACAAACAAGTTGCATATGCCAGTGAGTCTGAATTTGAGAGTTTTGAAGGTAACATACTCTCCAACCCTCCCCCCTTTTCTTCATGAATGTGACTGAATGTTAATCGTTAACCAATAAACTATGGAAATAACAAGGGTTTATGTGCCTAAATACTTTGTGAATAAGCAATTCGAAAATTGTGAAGTATTTTTTTTTTTTTTGTGGTTTGAATTTAAGAGAAATCAATTTATTTATTTTTTAAATACTCTTGATGTCAAGTTTACAAAAAATGTTCGCCGAACCTTTAGCTTGTATAGTTTCCATTTAAAAATTAGTTCCAAACTTTGGTTTCTTAATCTGGATTGTTCAAAATTTTCTTTTGTGAGTTGAACTTCTCGACCTACATTTCTAGTATCAGCAACGGGAACAATCCTTTAAATACCTCTCGCGGCTTCCAGAGCCGGCCCCTTTAATTCTTTAATGCCCAATCTTTAATTAGGATTAGGATTACAATTTTAACGGCCAGGTAAGTGGCTATAATCCCTACTTAAACCGGTCCCCAACTGTTGCACAAAAAACACTTAATCTTAAATCGCGGTAAAGCTCCCGCAGAGAGACTGGGCGATGCTATCTTGTATTAGATCTAGTTCGCTACTGGTTAAACAGTGTGTCATAATATTGGAGCCGTTCAACAACAAAAAATGGAAAAAAAAAACAAATCCAGACTTGTAATAGGATATACTTGATCGGGAGCGTGCCGTTAAGCCGGAGGGTGAGGGTCTGTGTTGTAAGGGGGGGGGGGGGGGGAGGGGGGGTAGCTAACATTCAGTGACTAGCTTGGGACGTAACACAAAGCCGTGAGCGTTTGTAGGTAAAAAAAAAATTAATGCGAGTTTTTATTTCCATTTTTTTTTGTGTGCTAGGGATGAATTGAATAGGCTTATAATGGCAGTTAAATAGAGTTTAAGATATTTATTTTAAAAATGTACAACACGTTTTAATTATTAGAGTTTCAACTTGCCGCGGTGTAGAGTGTGATTTATGTATGATTGGGATCAAATACAAGATTTGATTTTACGATTATAGAAATTTTATAGACATCATATTTTCGGTGTAAAATCCCCCATCTTTTTACAAGTATAATTGTATACTTGTATATACTTATAGACACACACACATATATATATATATATATATATATATATATATATATATATATATGTTTATTCAGTTACAGGTTTTTCGTAAAAACATATGATATACTATATATACACGTTTTTTTTATATATCTATCTATATATATATATATATATATATATATATATATATATATATATATATATATATATATATATGGTAGAATCATACAATCAATACCAATGCTCAGCAGATGATTGAGAAGTGTGTAATGTGCTCTTACGATGTGTTATGTTGTAATTAACTGGTCAACTTAAAGCCTTAACGACATCTGGTCGTGGTGGCGAATTGGCAAGTTAATGCTCTTATACATTTTTAAAAAGTGATTTAATATTGGTTTCCCTGTTCCTAAACATACTTTTAAAGAACATATATATATATATATATATATATATATATATATATATATATATATATATATATATATATATATATATATATATAGCGGCCTATATATACATATATATATATATTGATGCTATGTTACATTATTTTTTAATTGTTTGATGGTTTCGTTAATCGAAGATTATACATTGGATTTGTTTAACTGACGAGATAGCTTTTTCTGCTAATTTTAATACTGTTTAGAAATATTACACGTCATTAATTTTAGATAATTTTGCATTCTATACACATAAGTGTTGTTACATAATTTTTGTATTAGGCATTTTAATCCTGTCTTAAATTACAAGACTTAATCTTAGGCATTCCCCTCACCTCATTTAAAATGCGTAGCTCTAGTTACATTTTCAACAGCGAAAAGTGGGAGGGGTCACATATTCAGAAAAAAAATTCCAACTCTTCGGAGGGAAAAAATGTATCCACAACGAAAACACACACAACGTAGGTACGAACATCCACGGTTATCCATCAAAGCACAGAATCCATGTTCACTAGTTGTCTCCCCTCACTCATGTTAGGAGTGGCCGCCCTTGCAGGACCAAAGTCTTAATTAACATTGGCACACTCTGATGAATTGATCCGTGAAGACTGAACACGCAGACAATTAAAACCGGTTTCTTAAAGGTATATTTTTATCTGCTAAATCGTGGCTTCAAGTTTGGAAATACGTCTATAAGTTATGACAAGTTGTTAGCAAACACATGCTTAGATCTATTTATTTTTAATTAAAATAAAAACATCATTCCAAACATTAAATTTCAAAATATTTTTTTTTTATATTTTAAAAATGCACTTCAATCGTAGAAATATAGAAATGTAATTTAACAGTT